AACCCACTTCTATCAATCGAAAGGAGACTGCGACCACACCAGAGGCCACAACATCTTGGTCTTCTTATATGCACTTATTTAACCTAAATTCATGAGGCAACTCATTATTTGCTTAACTACTACATGCTTGCAGATAAGGGAAGATAATTTTGATGTCACAGCTGCTTACACAAATAAACTAAACTTTGACGTTTTTATGCTCGATCGTGTTCAACTGGGCTTCCACGTTTGCTATGTGTATAAAATCATCATGAGTCAATCGAGGCATGAGAGCTTTAACTAGATTCCAGATTAATCAAGCCTCTTCGTCTTGCTTAGCAGTTCTTCCTGCTTTCTCTTTCTCTCCCGAAGCCCATCCAATATCCACAAATAGTTCCTGCCTAATTTCTTGACTGTTTTATTTGCTTGTATAGATAGCCTAATTTTACTAGTGTGAAGTCCTCGTATCGTGCAGGGCATTGCGCCTCAGACCAATATACCTTTTGTCCCTAATTAGCCGCTTCAGATTACAAGCCAACAGGTGCTTCTGGATTGGTCTCTAAGTCTCTTTCGCTCTGTCTTCTGGCACATTGGAGATTTGTCTCCCCTAACACGCAAGACCCAGTTTCGAATCTCGTTAACGGTTTGGATGAGACCTAAGCGAGGTTAGGACTGCCGTCCAATGCCGTCATAAATTCCATTCATTTTCTTGTAGGAAAATTCAACTATCAATCCTTAAACCACCTTAAGCTACTGAGGGTGACGTCGCTTTTTACCCAAGCATTATCCTTAGTTTCAAATAGCTCTAACATCGCAAATATAATTAAAGACTGATAAAAGAATTATCAAGACCTTGTAAATTGATGACTACGAAATTCGTTTGATTAAAAAATTGGAGTAGACGGAATAAGGAATAGGTTTACATTAGAACGAAAGAATAATGTAGTATCATGCTATCAGATCTTTCATTTTGTTTGAAGAGTTAGATTAAAGCATTTCCTTTCCTAACATTTTATAATTATTGTTTAAATAATGGTTTTACTCATTAGCAGTCGATCACTTGGCAACCGAAAGCTCAATATGGATTTATCCTGTTAGCAGGGTAGAGCGCTCATGACTTCTCGGCATTAGCCCACAGTCAACTCAAAAGGCGGATCAAGCTAAAGAGCAAGCTAGGCGTTTGGAGTTCGATGAAGCCCAAACTTCAATTCGTCAGGAGTTAAATTTGTCCATAATTGCATTGAACTTAATATGGAGGCAAACAAATTCACATAACATAGATGGGATCGCTTGCATCTGAATTGAAATATGGTCAACTTTGGCGGCAGGGTAGGCAATTGATTGTTAATTTAGTAATGTAATCTAAGAAATCCTTATTCTCATCTTTTATCACTGCAGAAGCTTAGGTCGTACTCAACCCAGTTTTTGGCTTCTAATTAGTCCATTTTCAAATCGCTCAAATCGAAGGTCATTACTCCAAATAATGCGTGAACGACCCCTATCTATATAAGCAAACTAGATCTACATGGAGGAAATCACTTGTCTTGCGATCGTTTTAAATAAAAGGCTATTGGTTTGTAATTTCGCTAATTGTGTCCCTGGTTCTATTTTTTTAATTTTTGTTTAGCCAACCTCACCACCCAATCGGCTAGATCTGGTATGACCTCTAACCGCCTGTTCTCGGCTCGTGCCACTATTCGCCGAGTTGTATTCCCCAGCTCCACTCTCGATAACTTGCGCATGCCGACGGCCCCTGGCGCTGGCACCCTGGACGAAGCGAGTGCGCTTTCTGTTGTGCGAGCACATCTACGGCGGCGAAACAACTTTATTCGCCGTCTTGGAAAACGTCCGCCTAGGCCATCACAAGAAATTGAGTCACTCTTTGACGCCTGGTGGAGTTCGGAAGCCTGTGAATCTAAAGATGAGAATAGCGGGGACTCTTCTTGGGGCAAATGAACATTGCTTTCATATAGTACCTAGATTAAGGCACACATGTATAAATGCTACAGCTGTTCATGCAGCTATTTTGCCTTTACTCTTTCCTTCGCCTTCATAACTTTTACTTTAATCATCAGATTTAAGAATTGTACAAAATTTTTTTTATTAATAAATTATTTTGTGGTTTGTGGTTTATTATTATCTTCATGCTTCTTCATGACATTTCCCCTTTGTGTATATCTACATAATTGTATATAGATATTTATATGCACAATACTGTCGTTTTCAGTTGTTCACTAGCTTATCACAAATGCCCTTTAATTTATGAATCCATCAGAACTTCATACCCTAGGGCAAGGATAGGTTCCATAAAATTAAGACAGCAAATAGAATATAAAAGCGAATGTGTTGTGGATGAGTGTTTATATGCCGTTTATTAACAATGCTCACAAGCAAGACTTAGTTATTCAAAACGGGTTTCCATGATCTAGAATAGCCAAGGCTAATTTAGGCCTATTTCAGGGATGATTATAGGCTTGTATATGCATAAGCAGGAGGAAAGTGTTGAGATCCACATTAGCGAAACCCTTACATAATAGGGGCCTTTTCTTGACTCAATTATTCACTATGCTGGCGACCAAACAGCGCAATTAGCCCTTCTTCCCAGTCTCGAGTTCTTCGTGTTCGGCGGGGACATCTTCACCCATCCTTCATATTCCGTCCCCCGTTGCATGTATTTGTATTTACTTTTGTCCACGTATGTTGTGGCTTAATTTGCTTATACTTTTTAGTTATGAATAGTTACCGGGTTTCTCGGTCATAGCTTTTTCTTGGATCAATAAGACTTAATAATGAGAGCCTGACATTAGCCCCTTTTGACCACATTTTAGGACCGATATTGAGTTGGTACAGACACGCACAATTGAGCAAATGTAGCAGGACCAATATGAAATATAATTAGCCACGCCATTCAACATCCGTCTATGCCTAGTAGTTTTCGTTTGCCATAAGTCTACATGAGAGGTAAGAAATAGCCGGATAATCTTGTTGACCTAGTGTTAACGTGAGGCTTATAAGAATGAGTTCCCGCTCCGATGGTGTCCTTCATATAATGGACGAGAGCTCAGTCTGTTTTCATCCGAAATGAAGGAAAATGTCTTGTGGATTGCGTCAACCTGAACGTTGTATCAAGGCCAAGCGGCTGCAGTACTACCGGAATCATCCTTCCTCTTCTGGTGAGATCGACCTTCGAATCTCTTCTTCGCGCACTCTCATACGAGATGATAGCTTCTTTAATAATGTTATCCTTCTCTGTTCTCGCAGTATAAGCTCTTCAAAATCAATTTTCAGAATCTTCTTCAAGGTTCTAAGTTTCAGAGACCAATGGCCCCTAACATTAATTGATGCTCCTCTGTCAACCGACTGCTTTTAAGCTCAAGCTAGTTTTCGGGGGTACCGCCTTCAATGAATGCGGTCAGATTATGCAACCCAACTGTAGTAGGTCCACTTGTGGCCTCATGGAGATTAATTCCTTATTGTTGGGCTTACTTCCATTTCGAGTAGAAGTGTTTGGTGAAGAGATTCGAAGGTCGGTTCCACCAGA